GAGGGGTGGTGCAGTGTGGTGGGTGGGGTGGGCGGGGAGACAGTTAGCAAGATCTCCAACCTCACATTTCCCTCGTCGTCGCTACGAGTGATGGGTGCTGCTGTTTCCAATACTCAGCTGACAGCAGGCCATGCAGAACCTGCAGCCCTGGTCCAGGGGAGCACAGATGGTCCACGAAGCAGGTGAGCAGCAGAGAGGAAGGCAGATACTGTGGGAACATACGGCAGGGGATCCAGCCTTGTCCGGGCCCCGGTGTTGGGCGGCTGCTCTGAGGAAGTGATGTCTCACAGGCCCCGATGACTCATCACAGTCAGCTCAGGAGTGGGGCTGGGGGTGGAGGGAGCAGAAAGGCAAAACAGAGCTAAATGATGCCCTTGGTGTGGGTCCCTGTCCAGATGGGGTGTGTAGGCACACGGACACAGCTGGCACCCATTAGAATGTGGGAAGGACGCATAGGAGGGTGTGGCCTGTTCAGGGTGAGAAGGGCTGCAGAGTCACCAGGGAAAGGAGCAGGGGAGGCTGCGAATACCGAGGAGCCTTGCGGGTCATCAAAAAAGGTTTCCAAGTTTAGCCCGAGCACGCTGAGGCCGTAGGAACAGGGCACAGAGGGGAATGGCGTGATGGGGCCCAGATTTCTGGAGGCCTGCAGCTGGGCAGAGCCCATCAGGACAAGGCAAGTGAGTAGGAGGGGAGACGGGGGTTTGCTGACAGGGAGAGACGGAAACTGTGACAGAATGTGGGTGTGGGGATGGAGGTGGTTTGCAGGGCAGGGACTTGGAGGCCACGATGTGATGGCATTGGCTGGGTTATCCGGTGGATGTGGAGTTCCCTGGGATAGTAGTGGGCTCTGGGCTTTGGGCAGCGTCAATGTGGTAACCAAGTCTGCGGTGAATGAGGGACAGATGATGATCGTGGGGAAAAGGGCAGATGATGGCAGAGAAGAATGACAGGACGTGGGGCCCTGACATTGGGCAGGCTGGGCTCTGGCAGAGGGGCTGGGGCCAGCCCTCTGGCATCGACCTGGCCGCCCCAGCCAGGAGTCTGCTGTTCGTAACAGGGAGCTGCACATTTGGTGGGAGGCCTGTGGGTCAGACAAGTGGGCGCTGAAGACTTTGGGCAGTGCAGGTCCCCTCACCGCGCCAAGTATTCTCCCATCTCTCCAGGTTTTAAAGAAATATCTCCAGCCTCCAGAAAGCAAGAACAAAGCTGTTACCACTGACAACCTGATAAAAGGGGACACAGAGCGGGCATGAAATCAACTAAGCGGTGAGACAAGTCTCCATCGTGTTTGTTCCATGAATTTACTAACCCTGATGTTTTAAAACTGATTTTTAAACTGGGCTAGTAAAGAAATGTAAGCTCTGAGCGCCATCTCCTGGAATAACTTACTGTATCATGCCAACCTCTGGTCATCCTGTCCTCAACAAGCCCTTGGACACCTGACACCTGAGTCTATACCACAGAAAGGCCACTAGGGGGCACTGTCGAAGATACCCATTTGGCCCACTGAGCCTTCTGCCCCCTGTGCTCCCAGGGTTAGGCTGCTGCCCATCTCTGAGACAGCCCCAAGCCCTGCCGCACCCAGGCTGGGACTCCTGCCCCTGACCTCCTTCCCCATTATGGCCTCCTGATGGCATGATGAGAATCTCCCAGAGCTGGCCATCTGCTCCTTGAGCTAGAGTTTGCTTCCCTGGGATGCTTACCACCCATGGGTAGCAGGGAAATAAAGAATGAAAGTCCAGGATTTCCAGTTACAAGGAATTGCACCTTTGGGTTGAGAACCCCAGGTCATCTTGGGGCTCATGGGCTGCAATGCTGGGCATCTCGATGCCACTGGAGCCCCCAGAATCTCAAGGATCATGAGCGGGGGCTGCCACCCACACTTCCTTAGCTCTTCATCTGTCAAGGGAGATGATGAGTCTCCAAGGTCCTTCCTGATCTTGTAGCAAAAGTGGGTCCTGACCCAGCATTGCCTCAGACTTACAGGAACTCATCCTGCAGGAGCTGCCTCCAAGGAGCCCCGACTGTGTGTGTGAGGGCAGGCAGCTGTGTGCGCATTCACATAGCTGCGGGCTCCACTGAGGGAGGGTGACCTGCCTGGGGTCGTCAACTCTCTGTAACAATGGAGCCGAGCAGGACCTGTGGCCTCTTTATCTACAAAGCCTGTAGGAGTCTTTTCCTAGGACCCCACTGACCCCCAGAACCCACCACTTGAAGAGGGGCTCCTGAGGGTGTCAGCTGATAAACGGCTGTTGTGGGCCGAGCTGTGTCCTCCCCAAATTCACCTGTAGAAGTGCTAACTCCCAGGACATCAGAGTGTGACTGGAGATGTGGTCTTCACAGAGGTAACTAACTTCAGGGAGGTCATACGGGTTGGCCCTCATCCAGTATAACTGGTATCTTTTTTTTAAACTGAAATATAGTCAGTTACAATGTGTCAATTTCTGGTGTATGGCATACTATTTCAGTCATGCATATACATACATATTGTTCATTTTCATATTCTTTTTCATTAAAAGTTATAATTCCCTGTGCTATACAGAAGAAATTTGTTTTTTTAATCTATTCTTTTGGGTGTCCTTTTAAGAAGAGAAGATTAGGACACAGATGGATAGAGAGGGAACACTGTGCAAAGACATAAGGAAAGTATGACCATCTACAAGCCAAGCAGAGAGGGCTCAGAATGAACCTGGCAGACACATTGATCTTGGACTTCTAGCCTCTAGAATTGTAAGAAAATAGGTATCTGTTGTTTAAACCACTCCGTCTCTGGTTTAGCAGCCCAAGCAAATGGATACAATGGCTTCCCAGCCAAGTGTCAGGCATCCCTTGTTAACATCCTCTGCATTTACACAACCACTGCCTCTTACTCTTGCGACACAAAATCAAACAAAACCAACACGTTGGCAAGGCCTCCCGTTCCCTGAGGGACGTCAGGGAGCGAGGTACAGAGTGGGTGTGCGTCCTCTTTAAACACCTGCAGTTGCTCTGGTCTCTGAATGGGGCCCAAATCAAACCACTGGGTCCCAGCCCACAGGGGTTAAGCACTCTCCTTAGTTCTTCCTTTTCTCATTAGCTTATTTCTCTGAAATGCCTGTGCCTGGCATTTTGTGCCAGGGAAAGCCTTCTAATAAACAGCTCGGGAGACCGATGTGCTGGCGGAGACAGAACAGGCCCACGAGGGGGTGGGAGAGGCTTCACCGCCTCTGTCCCTGCTGTTGGCAGGACGCTGATCCGAGGCCCAAGC